TTATATATATATATATATATATATATATATATATATATATATATATATATATATATATATATTTGTACCACGACCTTCTAGTTCGGGAAACATGGTCTTGTTGTCATGATTTTTTTCTGTTTGGTCCTCTTGGAATAATTTATACTACTTTACAGGGAGGAATGAGGGAGGAGAGAAGAGAGAGAGGGACAGGGACTTGTCGGTGACAGAGAGGGGTTTGGCAGTGGCTCCCCATGGAGGGAGAGAGGTAGGGACGCTGAGCGGTTGGGTTCTTCTAGTTTTTCTTTTTCTTGGGTTAATTACCGCATTATGACTTGGCATTTAGTTGGGCGAAGATGATGGGTTGATGTCGGCATAGGTTAGGTTGGTTTTGGTCCTAATCCGTAATCCAACTCATACATAGCGGCTTATGATTTCTTGGGAGCCGCTTATTATTAGGCCAACCCAATCCAACTCTTTTGTGATCAAGTTGGGCCGTTTGATTAGGTTAACCCAAAATTATGCCCACTCTTAAGTTTTGGTTACAACTCGTACATAGTGGTTTATGATTTTTGAACCCAATACCCACTCATTACTAGGCCAACTCTCTTATGACTCAGGTTGACTTATTCAATCAAGTTGACCCAAAATTGTAACCACAGAGTTAGGTTAATTGCACAAAGCAGGGTACCCATTCCTTTTCACCCACCTCCGATCCCCTCCTCGTACATTAGAATAGTATAGATATTGTATTATCAAAATAGAAAAAAAAAAAAAAAAAAAAAAAAGAACCAAAATGTTGAGGGTTCTAAAGGAACGGTTGCAGCTTCTAATAGAAATGTTATTGCTGCCAAGGGAAATGATGTTCAGTTAGTTCCAAAAGACATGTTGTTGGATCTTAAGGATAGGAAAAAGGGGATGAAGGAGGTCTTAGAGGTAAGGAGAGAGTAGAGGAGTTTGATCTCTTAAAAATTGCCAGTGACAAAGAAAATTAAGTCAGAAATAAAATGAAAAACTTCGTTTGACCCCAGATTATTTCATACTTTCGGATACTCATACAACATGATGAAATCTGCTTACAATATGACGAACGTCTCAAAGTCAGTCATTACATACCACTTCCCATGAACTACTTATTCTCATAACGGTAAGGAAATTTACAGAGTTCATGAGATACAAAGAAGCATTATGACATGACAAAAGGCACATGCTCATGTGGCTTTCCATGAAGACACTGGAGGAGTTTCAGAGTTCTTCCAAGTACTAAAGTCATTCTGATATCTGTCACCTTTAACGGCATCAGCAGAAGCAAAAGATTCAAGCTCAGCCAGTTCTTCTGGTGTCAGTTTCACAGAGAGAGCTCCAATATTCTGGTTAAAATTCTCAATCTTTGTGGTTCCGGGTATCGGACACACATCATTTCCTTGGTGATGAACCCAGGCCAGTGCTAGCTGAGATGGGGTGCACCCCTTCCTTGCTGCAAGTTCACTAACCTTCTCGAATATTGTTTTATTATGCTCTAGGTTTTCGGCTTGGAACCTGGGTAGATACTGCAACCAACAAAGTAATCAAGGTTAGAATGACTTTATCCAAATGATATGATAAAGAGGAGGCACAATTCAAAGGCCCTGATAAGAAGTCAACATAACTTTGTAACACTACAATAGAGACTCCTTCAGATGTTGTTCAGAAATCCATTCTTTTCATGGCATTACAAAATATTTGAGGATTGCAGTGAAGAAGTCAACTAAGGCAGGTTCATAATGATAATGATCATAACATGTTATTCCTTTGTTTTTCTTTTTTCAACTCGAGTAACACTGTCAGACAGTGCACTGTCAATTACCAGATAATTTGTCTACCTGGGGTGAACACAAAAATACAGTTAATTTCTATGAAATAAGGAGAAGCTGATGGGCAACCTGGCTTGCATGTTTGTTTCTTCAAATTATAACAAGGGTGGGAAGTGAATTCCAAAAACAAATAAATAAATAATATTAAAAGAAATCATTCTGATTTGGCCTAATTCAACTCTGAGAATTTTTTACCTTAGAACAGGATTATATTAAGAATATTTAAGCCTTGGGACTATCTGGATAAATCAGGGATACTTGGATACAGCAATTCTAAAAAAAATTCTTTTTTCTGTGTGAACTCAACAAGAGGGTTCTAGCCTGCAAGGAGAGATTACTAAACCTAGTGAAGATCAATAACTAATTTGAGAACTTTCTAGGAGATACAAGGACATTCACAATGCTATGAATTTTCTCTAATGCGCATGCACTTGTGCACTTGAAAATCAATATCTATGTGGCATATCAACACACCTTTCGGACATCATCATTGGGAAGATTTTCAAATAACTTAGCTCCTGATGAAAAGAATCCTCTTGCTAGAGGACTGTACGCAACAATGCCGATGCCAAGTTCCCTGGGAAAATCGAAAAATGAGATTAGCATGAAATTTTACCTACTTTATAAACAAATCAGTTAGTTCCATTAAGACTCACCGGCAAGTAGGAATTATATCTTCCTCCACATCTCTTGACCACAACGACCACTCCAACTGCACAGCTGTTATTGGATGAACAGCCTGTGCTCTTCTTATTGTGGAAGCAGAGGCCTCAGATAGTCCAATGTACTTTACCTTACCTTCTTCAACTAGTTTCTTGAGTTCCCCAACCTTGTAAATGACATGATAAAGGAATTTAAGGAATGACATGCATTTCTCAAAATAATGAATCATGATGCATGCCAGTACAAAAAAGAATAATACTAACAGTCAAGCATATAAGGAAAGTAACATAGCTACTGCCTATATCCAGTGCAGAGTTCAGACATATGATAAAGATAACACACACACACACAGAACACAGCCCAAACAATTAAGACCTTTTCATCTAGTGGGGAGGGAATGGCGCAGATTGTAATAACTGAGGGTCAAACAAAGAAAAAATCAAGATGAAATGTTTTTCAGTTAAAACCAGTAAGAGGATTTACACAAACCATCATCTAAAATTGTTGATAAATAACTGAGAGTAATTCAAACTTTTATAACTAGTTCATCATCACTTGACGTTTAAAGATATAAAAATACACTCATCAATGACAACCTTTTCACGCTTGAACAACTCAACACAATGTAGTTTAGAAAATGGAACTAAAAAAGGGGTTCCAGTCAAAAGATGTGGTCAAACACAAAAGAATTGAATGGGGAATTGATAAAATTGTGAACTAATAAAATGATAGAAGAAGTTGTAGATCTTTGAATAACCATGACTTCAGTAGACCTGCGGATGCTTAGTTACTAATTTCAATTAGTCCTCCTCGAGCACCATTCTTACTAAACACACATGTCTTGTTTTCTCCATTCAATGGAAACTATATTATCATATGAAGTTATCAACACAATTGTTCTGCGATTGTAATTAAAAAGATATCAAAATTCAAGAGAGAAGAAAACAAACCGTGACTTCAATGGGTACACGGGTATCAATTCGATGCTGATAATAGAGATCAACAGAATCAACACCAAGGCGCTTCAAGCTGCTCTCAATAGCAGCTCTCACATATGCAGGGTCACCTCGAACCTCCGGCTTGTTGTCAGCAAAGCTGATACCAAACTTGGTGGCCAATTCAACCTTCTCTCGTGCCCCTCCCTTCAGAGCCTGTTCTCATCAATCCAACAAAATCCAATTCACTTCATCATCAACTCATCCAATTTAACAGCCCAAACAAACCCTAAAAGCAATTGATATAAATTAAGAGCGATTATAAGCAAAGTCAAGGTTAGTGGCGTACCTTGCCAAGAAGAATTTCGTTGGTGAAGGGGCCGTAGATGTCAGAGGTATCGAGGAAGGTGACGCCGGAGTCAATGGCATGGTGGATGAGACTGATCATGTCTGCGTCGGGCTTCGGAGCGCCATAGAAGGCAGACATGCTCATACATCCCAGGCCTTGAGCAGAGACCTCAAGGCCTTGTGAACCCAACTTGATCCTCCTCACTCCTGCCATTTGCTATCTGTGGTTGTTTCAGTTTGGTTCGTACATTTATATCTGCGGAAAGTGGAAACTTCAAACGTGCCGGCGCCAGAGCATCTCTCCCATTGACTTTTCTTGCTTTTTTTTTTTTTTTTGGATCGAAAAGATATTCATTCCACCAAAACAAAGAGGAAACAAACAGACAAGGGCTGAAGGCACATTCACACCTCAGCAAACGCAAAAGTAAAAGCAGAAACTAGGAATTAAGCAGCTAAGAAAGGAAATACAACTAACATAAACTGCGCAGGAAGCAACAGGGTATGACGTTCCAAAACAGGATGTCAAGCTCACTGAACAGTACGGGAGATCCTTAGCATCCTGGAAGGCAAGGAAGGCCATCGTTGTTAAGTACATGCACAAGAGAGGTCGGGGGTCTAGATTCCAAGACTTCCGGGCTCGACCTCGAGAGTGCCAGCGACGCCAAATGATCTGCCGCTTGGTTTCCAATTCTATTGATCCACCGCCAGGAGGACATAGCAAAGGAATTTCTAAATTCCTTGATTTTACTGAGGATGGGATATAAATTCCATCTCCCCCTCCTAATATTTCCGTTAATACATTGCACCACCTCCCTGGAATCAGATTCGAAGCAGACCTTTGAGAAACTCCTTTCAATAGCGAACCTGCACCCCTCCACTGCTGCCTGAGCCTCAGCCATAGAAGCTGAGTCCGCGAGAAAAGGGATAGCCTTAGCCCCAAGAAACTCACCATTAGCGTTTCTAGCAACAATACCAGCTCCTGCACAACATGAAGAAGATTGCCAGGATGCGTCGACATTAATTTTGACCATGTCCACCTCGGGAGCAGACCAGCCCACCGGGGAGGATAAGGGGACGACCCTTGGATTACCATTGTTCACATCAAGGGTTTCAAAATCTTTTATGCACAAATACCACCTAGACTATTACAATAGAATGTCTGGTGAGCCTAGCTACGAATATTTGGACAAATCATGCATCCACAGAGGTGCAGCAAATTGCCTAATTGCAACCTCCATGTTTCTTCACCATGACAAGCCCAAAACCAGAGATGAAGCCAATAACCCGCCAATTTGTAAACAACCACCCAGCTTAGTGTTAGTACCAAGTGCACCACAACAGTAACTGCAGGTATTTAAAGAGGTGGCTGTCGTGGGTGGAGGGGAAGATCCTAGATGGGCAGACAAATTCTTGTCCTTTTTCATTTTTTTAATTATTATTTTAGGAATTTTATTAATTTAAATTAAACTAGCCTCTCCGCACCGCACCCGATACTGCAAGAGACTTTTTTTAAAAAAAATTAAATTTATTTTAGAATTAAAAAAGATAATGGGTAATTGTGTTCTATAAAAATAAAATACATTATCTGATTTTTCTTTTAATTTTAAATTTTTTTAATATGAAAAAATGTGAATTTACCATTATTTTTTCATTTAACAGCAACCGAGGAAGGTGGTACATTAGCACTAAAAGTGAAGTATTGGTGGTAAATAGCTAAATTTGTTTTATTATGTGGTAAATGCCCACACCCCTAATAGATAGTTTAGGTGGTATTTGTACAAATTTCACTTTCTATTAATATTTGGGGAACATGGTCTTGTCGTCATGATTTATTCGGTTTGGTCCTCTTGGAATAATTTATACTACTTTACAAAGAGGGATGAGGGAAGAGAGAAGAGAGAGAGGGGGAAGGGGACTTGCCAGTGACGGAGGGGGGTTTGGCATCGGCTCCCCGTGGAAGGAGGGAGGTAGGGGCATTGAGCAGTTGGGTTCTTCTGGTTTTTCTTTTTCTTGGGTTAATTACAGCATTAGGATTGGGCATTTAGTTGGGTGACATATGGTAGGCAAATGTCGGCACAGGTTCGGTTGGTTTTGGTCCTCATACATAGTGGTTTATGATTTTTTGGGTACAAGACCCGCTTATTATTTGGCCGGCCAATCCTACTCAACTCAACGATTTTGTAATCGGGTTAGGCAGTTCGATCGAGTTAACCCAAAATTATGTCTACTCTTAAATCTTGGTTCCAACCCGTAACCCAACCCATACATAGCGGTTTATGATTTTTTGAACCCAAGACCCACTCATTACTATGCCAACCCTTTTATGATCGGGTTGAGCGATTCAATCAAGTTGACCCGAAATTGGGTCCACAGTACAGAGTTAGGTTAATCGCGCAAAGCAGGGTACCCATTCCTTGCACCCACATCCAATCCCTTACTCACGTCCGATCCACTCCTCGTACATTAGAATAGTTTAGATATCGTATTGTCAAAATACGAAGAAGAAAAAAATGGTGAACGAAAATGTTGAGGGTTCTAAACGAAATGTTGATGCTTCTAAAGGAATGGTTGCAGCTTCTAATTGAAATGTTGTTGCTGCCAAGTGAAATGATGTTCAGTTAGTTCCAAGAGACAGGTAGTTGGATCTTAAGGATAGGGAAAGGGGGATGAAGGAGGTCTTGGAGCTAAGAAGAGAGTGGAAGAATTTGACAATCTCCTTGTCTTCCCCAATTATTTGAAAAAGAACTATACCATATATACACTAAATGTATGTTTCAACCCACACGAAAAATTAGAAAGCAAAACCCTAGTTCTGGTTTCGTGGCAGGCAATGTCATTCTTTGTTGTAATCTCTTAAAAATTGCTAGTGACAAAGAAAATTAAGTCAAAGAAATAAAATGAAAAATACGGTTGGCCCCAGATTATTTCATACTTTTGGATACTCATAAAACGTGACGAAATCTGCGTACAAAATGTCAAACGTCTCAAAGTCAGTCATTACATACCACTTCACATGAACTACTTATTCTCATAACGGAAAGGAAATTCACAAAGCTCATGAGGTACAAAGAAGCATTATGACATGACAAAAGGCACATGCTCATGTGGCTTTCCATGAAGACACTGGAGGAGTTTCAGAGTTCTTCCAAGTACTAAAGTCATTGTGATATCTGTCACCTTTAACGGCATCAGCAGGAGCAAAAGATTCAAGCTCAGCCAGTTCTTCTGGTGTCAGTTTCACAGAGAGAGCACCAATGTTCTGGTTAAAATTCTCAATCTTGGTGGTTCCAGGTATCGGACACACATCGTTTCCTTGGTGATGAACCCAGGCCAGTGCTAGTTGAGATGGGGTGCACCCCTTCCTTGCTGCAAGATCACTAACCCGCTCAAATATTGTTTTATTATGCTCTAGGTTTTCGGCTTGGAACCTGGGTAGATACTGCAACCAACAAAGTAATCAAGGTTAAAATGACTTTATCAAAATGATATGACAAAGAGGAGGAACAATTCAAAGGCCCTGATAGGAGAGTTCTCGCCTGCTAGGAGAGATTACTAAAACCTGTGAGATCAATTACTAATTTGAGGACTTTCTAGGAGATAGAAGGACATTCACAATGCTACTAATTTTCTCTAATGTGCATGCACTTGTGCACTTGAAAATAAATACCTATTTGGCATATCAACATACCTTTCGGAAATCATCGTTGGGAAGATTTTCGACCAAGTTAGCTCCTGATGTGAAGAATCCTCTTCCTAGAGGACTGTATGCAACAATGCCGATGCCAAGTTCCCTGGGAAAATCGAAAAATGAGATTAGCATGAAATTTTACCTACTTTATAAACAAATCAGTTAGTTCCATTAAGACTCACCGGCAAGTAGGAATTATATCTTCCTCCACATCTCTTGACCACAACGACCACTCCAACTGCACAGCTGTTATTGGATGAACAGCGTGTGCTCTTCTTATTGTGGAAGCAGAGGCCTCGGATAGGCCAATGTACTTTACCTTACCTTCTTCAACTAGTTTCTTTAGTTCCCCAACCTTGTAAATGACATGATAAAAGAATTTAAGGAATGACATGCATTTCTCAAAATAAGTGAATCATGACGCACGCCAGTACAAAAAAGAAAAATACTAACAGTCAAGTATACAAGGAAAGTAACATAGCTACAGCCTACAAGAAATTTATGCTAAAGTTAGTGTAATTTGACTAATTTAGATATGATATATGCACTTAAATAGATACAAAAGAACCTAGTGCTCAATCATGTTAATCAAATGGTGGTTCACAAATCTCCAAACACACTTGCTTAATTCAAGATTCAAAATTTAAAAGATATGGACTCTAGATGTATAAAATACAAATTTCTCCTATATCCAGTGCAAAGTTTAGACATATGATAAAGATAATAACTGAGGGTCAAACAAAGAAAAAATCAAGATGAAATATTTTTCAGTTAAAATCTGTAAGAAGATTTACACAAACCATCATCTGAAATTGTTGATAAATAACTAAGAGTAATTCAAACTTTTATAACTAGTTCATCGTCACTTGACGCTTAAAGATATGAAAATATACTCATCGGGAGATTCTCCAATAAGTATTTTATATTAAGGATTGGTTACATACTTCTAATCTTGGCCGTTGGATTGCCTTCATTAAATATGTTGGTAGTCTCCTAGATGCAATCCAACGGCCAAGATTAGAAGTATGTAACCAATACTTAACTTAAATACTTATTGGAGTATCTCCCTACACTCATCAATGACAACCTTTTCACACTTGAACAACTCAACACAACTTAGTTTAGAAAATGGAACTAAAAAGGGGGTTCCAATCAAAAAGAGATGTGGTCAAACCATACTTCTACATTGTAGAACACAAACGAATTTGAATGCGGAATTGATAAAATTTGAATGCGGAATTGATAAAATTGTGAACTAATAAAATGATAGAAGATATTGTAGATCTTTGAATAACCATGACTTCAATAGACTTGCAGATGCATAGTTACTAATTTCAATTAGTCCTCCTCGAGCACCATTCTTACTAAACACACGTCTTGTTTTCTCAATTCAATGGAAACTATATTATCATATGAAGTATCAACCCAATTGTTCTGCGATTGTAATTAAAAAGAGATCAAAATTCAAGAGAGAAGAAAACAAACCGTGACTTCAATGGGGACGTGACTATCAATCCGATGCTGATAATAGAGATCAACAGAATCAACACCAAGGCGCTTCAAACTACGCTCAATAGCAGCTCTCACATAGGCAGGGTCACCTTGAACCTCCCTCTTGATATTATCAGTATAACTGATACCAAACTTGGTGGCCAATTCAACCTTCTCCCGTACCCCACCCTTCAGAGCCTGTTCCTCATCAATCCAAAAAAATCCAATTCACTACATCATCATCAATTACAATCAATTGAACAATCTAAACAAAACCCAAAAAGCAATTATGTGTATCATTGTCTCTCTCAGTCCTTGTGCTTCGCTTAGTAACTTAAATACAGGAACAATAGTAAACACAACCCAATTCACTTCATCATTAGTTCATCCCATTCAACAATACAACAAAACCCATAGAGCAATTTTACAAATTATTGTCTCTCTCAGTGCTTGTGCTTGATTTAGTAACTTAAAGACAAGAACAAGACTGAACAGAACCCAATTCAGTTCATCATCAAGTCATCCAATTTGAAATCTCAAACAAACCCAAAAGGCAATTGATACAAATTAAGAGCGATTATTAAGAAGCAAAGTCAAGGTTAGTGGCGTACCTTGCCAAGCAGAATTTCGTTGGTGAAGGGACCGTAGATGTCAGAGGTGTCGAGGAAGGTGACGCCGGAGTCAATGGCATGGTGGATGAGACTGATCATGTCTGCGTCGGGCTTGGGAGGGCCATAGAAGGCAGACATGCCCATACAGCCCAGGCCTTGAGCCGAGACCTCAAGGCCCTGTGAACCCAACTTGATCCTCCTCACTCCTGCTGCCATTTTGGAACTGTGGTTTTCTGTGTTTTCTGAACTCAAGCAGCAAAGTGAAGGACTGATAATACCTCTTGCTTCTCACTAGTTTTTATATATAAAGATATCTCTATCTGAAGAACAATGGGCAATGGCAGTTTGGTCAATCAATGAGCACAAACAGTTGGTGAAGTGGAGTGGTGCGTAAGGGAGTGCTTTTGCATTGATGTTTCAGCCTGACGAAGGATTATTTAAATATGAGAGATCCTCATTATTTAAATATGAGTGCAATTATGGACTTTGAATTATTGCTGCTTTCCCGCTTTATTTTATAGCTAAATTTTACCGCTTTGGTCTCAAGTCTATTGTTGGAAGGGGCAAATGTGTAACTTTCTCATACCCCATTTCTTTCCAAATTAAAGATGGAAGTTCGATTAGGGATGAGAAATTGCATTGCAACTTAAGAAAATGGGAGGAGAGAGGTTAGAGAGGTACGGACAACGAGGGTGGACATTTTGACCTCTAAATCTTGACAGGAAAAGCAAATGAACTTGGACATTTTTACCTCTAAAAAATCCAAGGAATAAGATAAAAGGCATTCAGAAACAGATCATAGCCATAAAATGCGACAAATCATATCACATTACAGTTTACAATACCTTCATTATTTCTACATAGGAATGTCAAATTTGTAGATTGCATTAATAACTCGATATGATATTGCCATGTTGGTGTTCTTTACAGGGATGATATACATGCTTGATCAAAGACTTATCTGCAACAGAACAAGAATTATAGACTCAAATCTAGAAACTAATATCATTCTGTAGATTGGTTTCATCCAATGGGCGTCATGTTCGAACGGGCTTTCCACCCATTTTATTTTGGAAATGGTCAACAGTTATAGGAATGGGCTTTCAAGAGTCATATTGCCAAAACGAACATTGTAATGGAGCTTTCAATAGCAATGATTGCATTCCATTGCAGTTAATTCCTTTGAATCAAACACCACCTAAGGGAAATTGAAGCCAATCATGTTGCATTTTCACCAGCTAATGATGCCAGCAATTGAGCTAGCATTGTAAAACTAGCATGTGTTCATATGCATAGCCAAAAACAAATTGGCTCACATATTCTCCTGCCCTTACCCCCTACACCCTAAACATCCCCACCTATTAATACACCAACCATTTAAAAATGTGAACAAAATTTGTCCATCACAATAAACTGCTTTCTATGTAACAATTCTCATTGGTCCCAATGCAAGAAGAAAAAAAGATCTTAAGGATCTCCAGTAGTTTTACATCTTCGAGTAGTAACATAGACCTTGTTCGATTTTATCATCAACAAAACAAAAAGCTCCCCTAACATAAACCTTCTTCACTTATGCATTTGTTATTTAATACTAAACATACCCAATTATAAACAGAGTGATGAAGATTATAAATAAATAAATAGAAGTATCATCACCTTTCCAGTTCACTGTATTTGATTTTCAGGCTGTGAAAAGAAATCTTTGGCATTGCGTGCTACCTCTGCTTCAACTATTGCTTCCAACACAATGTCTGATCCCTTAACATTCTCTGCCATCACAACCACTGGTTATTTATTTGGACATATATATCTAAGATGAAAAGCAAAACTATTTGCGAATTCACTGGAAAAGTTGTGGCATGTTCAGTTATACATTGGAACAATATTTGTGTGTGTCAGAACATAGGTTTATAGAAATAATTTAATGTGCAAGAGTTTTCATACTGTGCAATCAAGGATTGTATTTTCAAACATTATTTCAAGAGTATTCCTAGGGCATGTTTAAGCCAATAGCCCACCAAGTGAAGCCTCAACAATCCAGATACAGTTACCTTTAATAGAAACCAATTATATAGGGGAAATCATACACAACTAGACTAAGAGCATGAGTGACACCTTTGTTGACCAATTATACAAAGGTACACATAAAAAATGGCTAGTAATGACAACATTGATATGAAAACCATAATATATGTGCATCACACACATTCATGACCTCTATAATCAAAGATAATGAGGGCAATACACAGAATTAAATAGTGTACTTGAGAAAATTTAAATATTTGTTGTTCCTCAAGATAATGAAAAGGAAATGTCCATTCCTGGCAGCTCCCAGCAGAGTTCCCAAATTGAGACAACAAAGTAAACTAAATGATAACATCATTAAGTGTCATAACTCAGAAGATTATAACCTTTGCGATTTGGTAGCATCCCAGTGCTTTCAGCTGAAACTGGGAGGACAATGAAAAGACCACTTTCATCTTTAAGGTTTTCTTGCTCTGCACTGCTCTTTAAAGAGCCAGTCTTTACAGCATCAGATTCAGCCAACTTTGCATACGCAATTGCTTGACTATGCAAATTAGGTGAGTCTGAGGTTCTGAAAGTATCATCCTGTCAAAGATATGAATAAGGAATTCAAGATGATGCAACGTGGGCCATTTGTATGAAGAAAAGTATTATTCAAACCTTCACCACAGTATTTCTTGACTTCAGCTCCTCCTTAGGCTTCTCAAGTGAACTGTTGGCCCCTAAGAATACATATAAACTGGTAGTTAGGAGAGAAACAAAACATTACTTGCCAGCAATGTATGGCTACTAAGAATACTACCATCAATCAGAGAAGCTGGGTCTTGAGGATTATCCATCAGCCTTCGAGCCATAGGACCAGGATTCATAAGTGATATACTCCGGACTTCATAAGGAATCGACTCTAGTTGTGCAAATGCATCTTGAAGTTCTTTATGAACCTAAAGGTCAAGCAAGGGGCATAAATGAACAGATAAATCATTTGGTTCAAGGACATTGAAATTCTAATCATTACTCGATTGTGCACAATGCATGTTAGCTCACAAAGAATTGACGATAGAATGATAATTATCAAACTATCATTAATTAAGTAATTAGAAAATGTACCTGGCGGGCTTGCGACTGCTGCATAACATTATCGAATTGGCCTCTAGCTAACTGAACATACCCGATTGACCGACCCACTAACCTCCCTGCTAGCAATTCTAGGCAAATCCTTTGGTCCTACAATTTACAACCCATTAAACATCAAACCCGGTTCAATTTTTCAGTCAATATTTCCAATAAAATTACCCAATTTTTGACCTTGGCAAAGAAAAATTCTGAACCAATGCTGACAATGATAACGCTACAGCTATAACAGCCCAACTCTCTCACATGGGTACCCAAACATTTAGGTCCCATCCCATGCGAGAGAAGTCAGAAAAAGATTGAGAGTATAAAGCATTTTTCTTTTGAGATAAACACAAATAGAGAGAGAGAGAGAGAGAGAGAGAGAGAGAGAGAGAGAGAGAGAGATTGGGCGTATACCGACTAGAGCAGCTGTGGCTCTGATCAAGAGGAAGAGCTCTCCGTACGAAATACCAAACATTTTGCGCCTTACTGTATAAAACGATTTGTCTGGGTAGCTGTGGCTGTTTACATTATGATCCTGTCGTATACACAGGAACTTTTCCTATTCATCTATAATCTAAATAAATCAAAATTAATTACAGGGAAAACAAGTACAGAAGGGAGGGGTTTAACTCAGTGGTGAAAAATTTGCAGGAACATGGAAAAAAGAATTAAAGAAACATTTATGAGCTTTTTGATTCAATCCGAGAGCAGAATTCTTGATACAAGTCAAAGCTCTTTTGCCATTTTAAGAATTCCCCCTTCAATTTACAATACGCCTCCAATTCCTTCTGTTCAAACTTCAAGGAACAAGCATCAAATCTCAACTCTACAGGGCAAAGATCATCAAATAGTTCTAGTCCGACATTATCCTGATTGTCATTGGATACATGCTTCTTATCAGACACTTTAGAAATTAAGGTGTCAAACCTGTCATCCTTATAAACAGATTTCCCATGTGTATGATCCAGTGGAGATCCTTTAGCCACAACTGGCTGATATGAAAAGAAAGGTTTTGACTTTTGAGAGCTTCTCCATGTCTCGTCTCCATCATTAGCAAGGGACGTCACTGGATTATCGACAATCTCAGCCTCAGAAATAGAAACAGCCAGTTCACCGGTGACCTGCATGACCTCATCACAGCTGCGATTGATTTCTGCCTCTACTGAAAATCTACCTGAATTTTCATCTGAATTCGGACATCCATTGCGATATTCATGAAGTGCAAGCAAAACAGGAAGAGGAAGAACTGGACCCACAAGGGCATCACCAGGTTGCACTTTCTGTGACCACTTATTGCTGCGGCGTGAAGACTTCCTTAAAATGAAAGGAGGCAACTGAGATAGGTCTGGTACTACAGAGAATTCCAAAGCCACCCTATTTTTGTCCACAAGCACTTCAAGGATTTCAGAGTTGTTATAAAAGGCCAGTTGCAGAAGCTCAATGGGCAAGTCTGACCACAATCTCTTCAAAACAACCTCGTGTATGCTTGCGGGCAAGCTAATGTCATTTAAAACACTTGTAACTGCAGGAGATGATCTAAACTTACCAAAACCACAAGCATGTAACTTTTTGCATAAAGTTTCATGAAACTCTGAGCTAAAAAGTTCCTTCCCTTGATCATTATAGGGAATTTTTATTTTGTCATCTAAGACTTCATCAAGATTACCATTCAGATAACCACAGAGGTAGTCAAGTTTACGGTACTTAAATCTCCTAGGAAATTTGTATTCCTCATCAACTAGGGAGTACAGCAAATAATCCTTAAAAAGCAAATGTTCTCCATGTGATTCTTCTACTTTTTTTACAGAATCAAATGATGCACAATATCTCTGTAATTCAAGCTTCCCTGAGGACATAAGCCTTATCAATGTAAAACCACCAAATTCATCTGGCTCAGAAAGCAGAGCAGACAGATCTTTGTTTACAATGCCGAAGCCCAAAACAATTTCTTTCTTCTGCTGCCAATCAATCCATTCAGGAAGAGCCTCTTTTGAAAACTCTTCTTTTACAAGATAGCTTCCACAATGGCACTCATGGCCTGACAATAAAAGATCTGAAGGAAGCTCCCATGCATAGAAGGATTTCCGAAGTTCTGCTATTTTCGAAGCTACTGATCCTATCGGAGCTGGGAGGGAAGGTCCATAGCAAAAGATATTAAACTCACAATTCCAAAACGACCCCACTATAATGCAAAAACCCGAGTCAGAAGCCCAATTAAATTTGTCATCCCTCGACTGTGACCTCAACTCTGACAGTCTTAAAACATCAACATAGCTTGGTTTATCAAGGCCATGAGCCCATTGCAACACCGGCATCAATGGCTTGCGCACATCACAAACAACTAACAAAGTGTCAGAAGCCAAAACAAAGTGACAATCATCAGAACCTGCCTTCGAAAGCACAAGGAACTGCTCCTTTTCAATGGAGGCATACATATGCAACATCTCAATTTTCATCAAACACCTCACATTACACTCATGGGCCCTCAAATCAACTAAGAAAACTGCATCTGAACGTGCAACTATCAAAACTCTAGGGTGCCAACTGAACTCACAACTCAACCACCTATAATTTCGTGAACTACCCGAACCATCATCAATATCCCAGGGCACTTTCAATCTGGTCCCATTAAATTTAAAATTTGCATTCAAAGTGTGGGGGGTTTTTAGACGAGAGTCCAAATCAAACAAGAATAAATCACCATTCTCTAACAAGACCACACTCTCTTCCAATAAATGAGGACTCCAACAAGCATGTACAACACAGCAAGTCTTGAAAATCTTACTACCCAAATGAACTAAACTAACCCTACTATCTGAATTTGGACCAAAATCTCCAACCTTTACAATAAACCAATGCACAGAGTACATAGTAGAAGCCAATAAATACCCAATTGTCACACAAGAACCATTACCTCTTAAACTCGAAAACCCAGGAATCGGGTTCACCGAAATCCTCGAAATCCGATAACTAAACCACCGCCTGGAAGCGAAAACCCCTCCGTTTTCATTCACTTTGACATCAAAGGTCGAACCTTTTAACACCAACTGCAAGAACCCAACTTGGTCAGAGTTTTCACCGGTGGGGAAGAATACAACGACGGTGTTAATCTGCGGGCACTGAAGGAATTCAAGACGGTTGTAGAGGAGAGACGAGGAGACGTCGCTTTTGGGGTGGTGGGGGCCCAAGAAGGAGGCTACGGAGGGAACGGAGGAGGGAAGAGGGGCAGAGTCAGGGGGGGAAGTGAGGAGAAAACGAGGGAGAGAGAGATGAGGTAAATGAGGGAGAGGGGGAAGGAGAGAAGAGGAAGAAGAGAAAAGGAGGGTTGTGGAGTTGGGTTTAGGGTTGAAGATCAGAGGACCCAGGATGGGTTTTAGAGAAGGGTTTGAAAGGAGGAGGGGAGGCTTGAAGACTGAGGAAATTGGAAAGAGAGATTTCCATTCTTCTGGGATTATGTTCATGTCCATTGAATGAAACAGCTTTACTTCTCACGAGCCAGAACGACTGCTTGGATCTTGGAGAACTTCTGTGTGCATCGGTTGTACTGATACAACCACGCACATGACGACTGCCTGGCAAAGAAGACGATGTCTGGCTTGTCTCGGTGCCCATATAAACGAAACACACCGTTTTGTGATTAGCCTCCTTTAGTGAAACGGTGGGTTTAACACTTGGCTGCCTCTTGTCATCGTCGATGGCAACGATGGGTTTAATGGGCTAGTTTTGGTTTTATCGGTTTTATGAGGTTTGGCTTCATGGCAATGGGTGAATTATTTAAAAACTTTATCCTATGGGCCAATATAATATAATAGAAGATTATCTAACAAACAAATAAATTATTTTAATAGTATATATATAATGTTTTAATTCGATAATGCAACGATAATTGAGGACTTTAAAGCTTCTAATCTAACCTTTGCATTGTAAAATTTTAAATTTAAATAGTGTTCATTTGTATTGTATTGTATTGTATTGTATTGTATTTATTTGTGATTTTTATTTTTAGTTTTTATATATTTTTAAAGTTTTTATTTATGTATAGAGATGCATTTGAGGTAAAGCCCATTATATTCTCATGAATAGATATATCTTTTTGTGTTTATTAATGAATTCACTCGTAATCTTTAGTTTAATATGTAAGTTTTGCCCAGCCGACTTTCAAATCCTAGATCTGCCACTACATGACAAGCGTGATGTTTTTTAAAAACAATGGGAACCGGCTGTTTTGGGTAACATGTTAAAAGAAGGGAAAAAAACTACGCACGCTTTCTTCAACTTGCTCTGAATGCTCGCTCGTCCTACTCCTCTGTATTGTGGAGTTGGATAGTCTCAACGATGCAAGCCAATGGCAGAGGAGGGTCGAACCCGCTTGAATCGTCTCAGAGCTGCGTCGGCCTTTTGGACCTGCGATTGTTGTGTCGTCGTGGGAAGATGCGTTAGAGTTGTTGGGTGGTGGGCGGACACACGTTGGGACAAGAGCCCTTGGAATGCCTGAAATTTGGTTGTGGACTCTATGGACGACCCCTTGGACAGCTGCGGAGCAACCCCTTGTATGCACACCAGGTGCTCGAAGAAAGTCCCAGCTTGTCTCTGAGTCTGTGATGGCTCTGTTACACGAAGCAGAGACCGAACGCACCAAAGCTTGGTAGGGGTAGAGGAGGCAGGGGCGGTTCTACACAGGGGGCAGCTAACCATAAAAAACAAATAGGTAAATGTGTTAGCCAAGCCAACAAAGTAAACTAAATAATAACATCATTAAGTGTCATAACTCAGAAGATTATAACCTTTGCGACTTGGTAGCATCCCGGTGCTTTCAGCTGAAATTGGGAGGACAACGAAAAGACCACTTTCATCTTTAAGGTTTTCTTGCTCTGCACTGCTCTTCAAAGAGCCGGTCTTCACAGCATCAGATTCGGCTAACTTTGCATACACAGTTGCTTGACTATGCAAATTAGGTGAGTTTGAGGTTCTAAAATTATCATCCTGTCAAAGATATGTATAAGGAATTCAAGATGATGCAACATGGGCCATTTATATGAAGAAATGTGTTATTCAAACCTTCACCACAGTATTTCTTGACTTCAGCTCCTCCTTAGGCTTCTCAAGTGAAATGTTGGCCCTAAAAAGAAAACAAAACATTACTTGGCAGCAATGTATGGCTACTAAGAATACTACCATTTGATATGTATTATAATTTTTTTTTTGTGTAATTTTAATAAATTATTTTTACACATATGTTAAATTGTGATTTTCAGGAAAAGGAATATCTTCTTTCGAAAAAAAATATAATCAGTATTCATATAATTACTTAACAATATTTTGAATTCTAATACTAGGTAACACATGTAACAAACCAATACCATTATAAATGGAAACACAAACAAGTTACAACCCACCATTTCGACACATAATTTGCTTCTTCCAAGTCTCCATTTTAACACATAAAGCCAAGCAACGGAAAACTCTACTTTTCCCAATAATTCTGTCTTTCCTTCTGTTCCTTATCTTCATTTTTTCCCTCTTTTGTCATAAAAAAAAGATATATGGAAGCAAAATAGAAATGTCAGACCCAAAAAAAAAAAAAAAAAAAAGCAAAAAAAAAATGAGAAAAAAAAAAAAAAAAAAAAAAAAAAAAAAAAGAATAAAAAAAAAAAAAGAAAAAAAAAAAAAGAAAAAAAAAAGGTGAGGAGGTGCTTTGATTTGATGCTTAACGCATCTCCAATAGTGACACATGCAATACAACTGCACTGCACAGCATGGCATTCATTCAACTGCACAGCATGGCATTCATTCAACGTGACTCCAAAGCGTATCAACTCCAAGCTTGCACTTCACACATAAAAGCACCAAATCAAACCCAAAAAAACCAAAAACACAAACTTAAAACTCCAAATTTCCAAAACCAATAATGAAAATTACCTCAGATTCAAATTCAACAACCTGGGCCTCCCACAACCACCACCACCACCAACCCATTATCTATTGAATCCATTGAAGCCTCAATCCAAAGCCTCACGAGGAGCTGGCATAGAAGGCAACAATGGCACATGTTTTTTATGGTTTGATAATAATAACTCCACACAACCTAAATTTAGCCCCATGAGTCAAACAAAGTACGACAAATATTCAATTATGCTCATATATGCTCATATTTTTATTCTTCTCCAATATGGAGGTATTTATACAAGTACAAAGAAGTGTTAACCCTAAATAAAATAGGAAATATATCTAAATTACAATAAGGAATAAATCTCTATTACTATAGGACTAAATAATAATTGGTAAATAACCAAAATTCTAACTAAATAAGGAACCAAAATCATAACTAAGTAAGGACTCGACAACACTCCCCCTCAAGTTGGGGCAAAGATATTTCACACGCCCAACTTTACAAGCGAGTCATAGAAAACCATACTCGACATTGACCAATCAAACAATTGTAGAGAAGGCATTGTCATAAACCACGAGTGAAACAACTAACAAACCCTAACAAATAGGGCACATAGAAGAACACATAAAAGCAAATACTGAAACCCCGTGAGCACAATAGTAGGTAATGCAGAACACAGATACCTTATGAGCACAACAATAGGTAAGGCAGAACACAAGCCCTGTGAACAAGACAATAAATAAGGCAGAACACAGAAGCCCTGTGAGCACGACAATAGATAAGGCAGAACACCAGAAACCCTGTGAGCACGGCAGTAGGTAAGGTAGAACACAGAAACCCTGTGAGCACGGCAATAGGTAAAGCAGAACACAGAAGTCTTGTGAGCACGGCAGTAGATAAGGCAAAACACAGAAGCCCTGTGAGCATGACAGTAGATAAGGCAGAACACAGAAACCCTGTGAGCACAACATTAGGTAAGGCAGAACACAGAAGTCCTGTGAGCACGGCAGTAGATAAGGCAAAACACAAAAACCCTGTGAGCACAACAGTAGGTAAGGTAGAACACATAAGTAGGTGAAGAAATAAAGGCATCAACATTCAGAATGGTGATGGATGGCGGGGTGGCAGCAAGGGCAGCAATAACAAGGTAGGCGGCAGCGACAGTAGCAAGGTAGACAGCGGCAGTGGGCTAGGATTATAGGCTAGATGTATAGTGCAGCGAAAATAGGTAGTGTTTAGGGTTAGGATTTTTTATGTTGTGGAGACGGATCAAAACACAACAACATGGCATCAGCAATGACCATAGCAACAGAAACCAAAGCAAACAAAGGCAACATCAACGGTGACAGTAGCGGCAACGGCAATAATAAATTCTTCCATATAAACTTTAGCTAATTCACGCAGACACAACTTCTCTTCACTCCTCCTCTCCCCTTGAAGAGAAGAGGTCTTCGGAGTCAAGAAATAAGCAACATCTTCATGGGAATATGTCAAGGTAATGGGGATACGTCGATAAACATATCCTTTTCACTCCCCCTCCCCCCCTTTGAAGATGAGGGGATGAGAGTACTTAAATTTAAAGGAGAATGCAAGCACAGGTCAGAGGAGAACCTGGCTCTAATACCATGTCAAACAAAGTAGGGAAAATATTCATATATGCTCATATATAATCATATTTTTATTCTTCTCCAATATGGAGGTATTTATACAAGTACAAAGATGTGTTAACCCTAAATAAAATAGGAAATATATCTAAATTACAATAGGAAATAAATCTCTATTACAATAGGACTAAATAATAATTGGTAAGTAACCAAAATTCTAACTAAATAAGGAACCAAAATCCTAACTAAGTAAGGACTCGCCAACACCATGGAGAACCCACTTGGCCAATTTTCTAGAGTCCACACCAATCCATGCAATTTCTATCTCCCTCCTCATTGTAGATCTCATCCTCACCATCCTTGAACTCTCCTTATCTTTTCTAACCAAGTGCAACAACTCACCAAACAAGAACAAAAAAACCACACCAGAAATTTGGTACCATTGGGTGGGCATTGCTATCCTCGCCCTGCTTTTGGTAAAGATGGTGGCTCAAGCTGTGGGGCTTGGCATGCGTACATTTCTCCTGCGGCATCATGGTTATGCCATTGACGGCGTCATTTTGATGGGTGTGCTGGTTTTAGAAGCTTTTTTTGGAGAGGAAGGGAGGGGGTTGCTTGTTATGGTAAGTTTGTGGTGTGTTGTTAGGGTTGTAGAGAGTGCCTTTGAGTTGAGTGATGAGGCCATTAAAGCACAGATTCAAAGTGTTGTTTGCCAGTATGATGAAAAGGAAGGTGGCAATCCTTGGCCTTGGAGTCACACACGCTTTTTGCGTTCATTTATGGATACTAATGGATTGTTGGAATTGAGAACTATTAGACAATTCTTTACATGGGAAAACCGGCATGATCCTGCCTCTCTTGTTAGAATCAAATTGGATCGTGGGCTTATTAATGCTCCGTGGCTCCATTTGTGGACTGACTCTTGTGTTCATGTGGAGCCTAGGATCGGCTTTGACAACTCTCCTCTGGTGCTTTATTTTGCTCCTAGAACTAGGAGGAAAAGAAAAGGCTTTCAGTTTGAAGCATATTGGGCCGATGACCCTGATTGCGATACTATTATTCAAAGGGGCTGGAATTGTGGCCAAACTGGGGATTCTTTATCTGTTTTTTCGGCTAACCTCGGAGCTTGCAGATATGAACTCCAGAAATGGAGCAAGGGGAAATTTCCAAACAATCTTACTCACATTAACTTCTTGATGAAGGAGCTGGAGTTCCTGATGAAGGAGTTGGAGGTCCTTCAGTCATGTAAGTATGGGGATAATTATCGACACCAGGAAACTGCCATTTGGAATGAGTTGTTTGGCTTATGGAGCAGGGAGGAAAGCTATTAGAAACAACACTCTAGATTGAACTGGTTGACTGCAGGAGATGCGAACACAAAGTTTTTCCATATCTTAACCCTTCAGCGCAGACAACGTAACAGAATTGAGACTCTACTGAATTTGGAGGGGAATTACATCGGTGGGGACCAGGCTGTTAGGGAAGAGTTTTGTACTTTTTTTGGTGACCTGTTTAAGTCCCGGGGCCCTAGAAACTGGGGGAATATTCTAAACTGTATTCATCGTAGTATTTCTGAAGCCCAAAATATAAGGTTAACTCACCCTTTCTCTATGGAGGAAGTCCGAACTGCGGTAAAGCAACTTGGTTCTTTGAAAGCACCTGGACCTGATGACTTGCCTGGCCTTTTTTATGATTGCTTATGGGAGATTGTTCAGTGTTCTATTAATGACTTGGTATATGAGTTTTTCTCGGGTAAATGTAGACTGGATCTCCTAAATCACATGCATATTGTCCTCATCCCTAAGGTTCCCAAGCAGACCTCTATCAACCAATTCAGACCTATCAGTTTGTGCAACAACTCTTATAAGATTCTGTCTAAACTCCTAGCAAACCATCTCAAGCTCTTCCTCTCGAACTTGATTAGCTAGCATCAGAATGCCTTTGTCTCGGGGCGGCAGATACATGACAATATCCTGTTGGCCCACGAGGCTTTCCATTATTTGCACTTCAAATCATCCAGGAAGTCTTTTGAGTTGGGGTTGAAACTCGACATGAATAAGGCGTATGACCATGTGGAATGGGACTTCTTGGAGGCCACTCTCTGTCAATTTGGTTTTGACATTGGATTTCTTTGGTCATGATGTGTGTAAAAACTATCTCTTTTTCAATGATGCTGAATGGTTCCCCTGGCAATCACTTTACCCCACTAGGGGCTTGAGGCAAGGAGACCCCTTGTCTCCCTATCTATTTCTACTTGTCTCTGAAGTTTTATCTCTTAATATAATTAATTCTTTCGATATTGGTGTGATCAGGGGTATCAAATTAAGCAGGGGTTGCCCGGGTTTATCCCATCTTTTCTTCACGGACGACTCTCTGTTTTTTTTTTTTGCGAGCTACCCCTTCAAATTGTATTGCTTTCAAGGCTATTCTCGATGACTATTGTCTTGCTTCGGGCTAGGAGGTGAATTTTCACAAGTCCAGTTTATATTTTTCACCCAACACTGATAATGGCACTAGAAACATCTGCGGCAGCATCTTTAGTATCCCCGAATCCTGTGATCCGTAGCCATATCTTGGCCTCCCTACCTTCTGGGGCCGCTCAAAGGTTGATGCCTTGGCCTATGTCCTTGATCGAATCAATCAAAAGATCGCGGGTTGGAAACTTAATATGTTATCTCAAGCGGG